TTCCGATGTCCGATTTCAATTATGTATATAGTATGAATTCAGTTATTTTTCCTAGGTTTTGTCACTATTAATGGCATACAACTATATTTTTTTATTAATTATTATATTATCTATGTACACTGAACAAATTATTCCTGTAAATTATTTTTAAATTTAAGCAGCGTGAGTTGAAAATATATTGATATTAACTTTTTACAACAAACATTAAAGATGTCCACTATCGTATTTTTATAGATATAGTACAACGAGATTTTTTTATTTTAGGCAGAGTATTAAATGAGATAGTTATGAACTTTGTTAATCTATACATAAAAATATCAATTATATCTCAAGAAAAAAGTATAACCACATTAATACCAACACAAATCGTATATTTAATGATTACATAATTCACGAGTGCATAATGTTCGTTTTTTGTATCGATATTATTTCTGTCCGATAGCATAATATATGACTATACTATATTCGTTTAAACTATTGTACAGTTATTTTCGAAATATATTAAAAAATATTTAATATAAAACTCGGACATTAAGAGTTATTAATTACATTATTATATATAAAATGTCGAATCTCTCGTAAGTATCTATGTAGTATCTATACACGTGAAACGTAAAGTAAAATAGTTAAGTGGAAGTAGGATTATAAATCAATAACTATACAAATCGCGTAATGCGTATTATCTCGTTCTTATGAACGCTCGGATTTGTTGAAGCACGACGGTATGGAATTGATAACGTTGTTATGCGAAAAATTTATTTAATTATTGCTGGTGCTCAAACAACAGTATAATGCAAGTTTGCCACGGAGACCGCGCACTTTTGTATTTTATAATTTTATTTACTATTATTTACGTGCAATATTATAGTTTCTCATAAATAAGTATAGCGATAGCTTGGGTGCACAGCAATAATGTTCAATGGAATTATGTTCGATGGCGATCCGCAAACCCGATAAAATCCTATTCCTATATACCTAATATAACGTAAACCATAATAATAAAATACCCGAAAGACAGGTGACTGCTATCTATTATAATGAAATTTTTAGACTTTCACTTTTATAAATGAAACGAAATAATGAACAGCGGTATATGCGTACTTACGCATGCGTGCGCATGTGTACATACTATCATATATATATATACATAGTTATACGATAGTATGATGTATTAAATCATTATTAGGGCTCGGAACTTAATGTACTTAAAAAGTTCTAAATATGCACTTATGCACTTAAAAAGTACAAATGTGCTCTAAAAATATGGACTTATATCTTATTTTTGTACACAAAATTTTCATTTGCACAAATATTTTATAAAATTATAAATATAGAAAAAGCAAAGTATTAAAAATAATTCTGATTAATAAAATAATAATAAATTATCATTAAAAGTGTTTCTTGAATAAAAATAAATCCACCGGAAGAATGTTCAATAATCATTGAGTTATTTTCCTAAAAAAGTATTTATAGAAAATAATCGTATTTCGATAGCAACTGTTCCTATTTGATAGTTGTATAATATTGAATTTTAGATAAATGTAGCTGTAGTTATAATTTATAAATATATATATTATTTAACCAATAGAGGAAAACATTGTTTTTAATGTCAAATGGAAATTTTAAAAATACTATACAAGAATATCAAGAATGTTCTCTCAATATGAATGTATTTTATTTTTTTATTTTTCGAATTTTCATACTAAATCTTCAAAAATTATAAAATATGCTCTAAAAAATTTTAAAATCAAGAAATATGCTCTAAAATCTAAAAATCACTAAATATGTAAAAGTATATATTTTAAACTTTTGATATGTTTTTCGTAGTGTTTCGGGATGAATTTCTAGCTCACTTGGCAATAAATCCAATGGTGCAAAAAAATGACGGGTACCTATTGCATAAATATTCAACAACAAGATCCCGTAACAGGTGCCAAAATAAACAATAATGTTAGTTCGAAGGATTATTATGCATATCGGTTGATGATTAGACGCGATCAGGACAACGTTATTCTACGATGTCGGGAGCTCTGTCAACAATTCATGGTTGACATGTACGTAAAGATAGAGAACGGACGATTTCGATATCTGCGATTCAATCAATAAAAGCTACGTGCAGAAGATTCTCAAAACAATTGTTAGATATCGGTGATGGGAAAGTTACTACAAATGAAACGGGATGCATAAAATTACCGACCGATTTCTGCACAATCATTGATTCACAAGTTACTCTCATTGACCAGATATTTCCCAATGTATACAGAAAATACACAAATCATGAGTGGCTGGCAGAAAGAGAAATTTTAGCAGCAAAAAATGTGCACGTCAATGAATTGAATGTCAAGATACAATATTTGTTATCGGAAGACTTGATGACATGATGCGCCAATATAATTTAAATGCCTTCAATTTCCAATTAGATTGGCATTTGCAATGACTATCAATAAGTCTCAAGGTCAAACGATGTCTGTCTGTGGCTTAGATTGAAACAAATCATGTTTTTCGCACGCACGTGGCGAGCTCTCGAACCATCCAGTTTGTTAGTGTTGGCGAAAGATAAATCCGAGTACAATCTCCGTAAGTGGACCAACAAAAAACTGTTTTGATTGTGGTTCGAAATTTCATATCGCGCCCGCGTGTTCGAAACCACGCATAGCAAAGGGTGCATGTTATCAATGTAGATCTACGATTCACCAGTGGTCAAAATGTCCAGCGTTAAACCGTACTACGACGGCGAAGACAGCGGAGGTTCCAAGGGATAATGAGGTGAACAAGAACGAGTCCAGAATAATGAACGTAACGTCAGACCGATCTAAGGTCTCTTACAACCATCCAGGACCGTGTGAAGTGATATTTTCATGTAATGTTCCAGTAGACGCAGACATACAGTGTGGAATTACGTTTGTGGTGATCATCGACAACGACAATCCTATCAGTTTGGTAAAGCGTGAGTTAATACCAAATAATGTAAATGTAATAAAATCATTAGATAAAATTGTATTTTTTCTGGTATTAATAGTACTAAATTAGATTTGTTAGGAATGTTTGAAATCGATATTTCTGTTAATGATAATAAATTTTCTGTGTTTTTATGTTGTACCGGAGAATACTATGACTATGAGTGCAATTTTAGGTAGGGATTTTTTCACTAAGCCAGGTGTTAATTTATCATTTAAGAACGGTATTGTCCACTTTGATTGTTATGAAAGTGCATTAGATAAAACCAATAGTTTTAGTCAAATTTTGTACGTAAACTATGAACATGAGTTTGATTATGTGAAAGTAATGCTGAACGTAAATCCTGAGTTAAATAAGAATGTGAAAAAATAATTGTTTGAGTTATATCAAAAGGAGTATGGTAATAAAAATAAAGAGGAAATTATACAGGAAATAAACCCGAATTTAGAGATAAAAATCGTATTGAAACACGATTAACCTATTGCATATAGAGTGAGACGTATGATGACAAAGAAAAATTACGTAATATTTTGAATGAATTATTAAAAGAAGGTATAATTAGAGATAGTAGGAGTCCTAACAGTAGTCAGATAGTACTTCTTAAAAATAAAACTGGAGACACTAGATTATGTATAGATTATCGTGAATTAAATAAAATAACGGTTAAAGACAATTTTCCCACGGCACTAATCGACGATCAAATTGATAGTTAAAAAAATAAAAAATATTATGTTCTCATCAATTTAAAAAACGGATTTCATCATGTTCGAATGAATCCCTCTTCAATACCGTACACCTCTTTCGTGACTCCGTTGAGACAATACGAATATCTTAAAATGCCGTTTGGTTTAACGAGTGCTCCGAAAGTTTTCGTAAGATTCATGTTAAACATTTTTTCCGATTTAATTAAAGCAGGTGAAATAATACTTTATCTCGATGATATGTTGATAGTAACAGTAACTGCTTCCGAACATTTTTTTGTTCTAAAAAAGGTATTTAATTTGGCCTCGAAATTTGATTTGAAATTTCGTTTAGATAAATGTAAGTTCTTATATAGAAGTGTTGAATATCTTGGCTATATTATTAATGAATTTAATGAATTTGGTGTGCGCCTTAGCCCTATAAATATTGAATCAGTTATGGATTATCCGACACCGAAAAATCAAAAATAAGTCCGACAGTTCATTGGACTTGCCAGTTATTTTCGACGATTTATCGCCAATTTTCTCGTTAATCGCTAAACTATTACATACGTTGTTACAAAAGAACATTGATTTTTATTTTGGTGATGATGAACAATACACGTTTAATACGTTAAAAGAAAAATTATTATTTTTATAATAATACTAACTTATAATAACTTTATTTTTTGATAATCTAGAAAGTCTAATGGAAAAATACAAGTTTACTGCCACAAAAATTTTTAATATGAATGAAACTGGCATCTCAACAGTCCAAGACCCTGGAAATATATTGGCCCCAAAAGGACAGAAACGAGTTGGATCTATAACAAGTTGGGAGCGAGGCAAAAATGTTACTGTTATTTGTACCATTAGCACATTTGGATCATATATACCTCCAGTCTTTATTTTCCCTAGGAAGAGGATGGACAGCAAACTGACAAGGAATGGTCCACCAGGTGCTCTGTACGAATGTTCAAAAAATGGGTGGACTAATAATGAAATATTTTTGGTGTGGCTGAAACATATGTAGTTAACTATTTTTAAATATTAAGTTACTGTTACAAAGTTATCCCAGGTTTATTAAGTTATGTTACCCATGTTATTAATAATAAAGGCAAATATTAATAAAAGTATTTTTATGTTTTTTTTTTTATGAAATTATGATTAGAATAAAAAAATTATGATTTTCCCTATTAATTTGCATGGGTTTTTGAGTGATTATCATTACCCCTACATAGGAGGAATGGTGGTCATTTCCACTTTTTTAAAAAGAATTAAAAAAATATATTTACATTTGTTTTAAAAATCTGAAATGTAAGTATGTTATACCTAACAAGTTAATACTTATTTTATCTATATTTAATAGTGTTTTGAATTAACCGTTTGCCGGAAATCGATATTCTTGCTTAGGTGACTGCCATTCCTCCATTCTCCCCTACTCGGTACAAGTTCTGAGAATATGTTCAAATTTGTAACATTGTCATGTTCCATTACATACTTTGCTGTATCGGACGAAAAAAATCCCGACTTTTTAAAACAATTTTTGACTATCTTTGGTTTTATATTCTTTAATGCGGACTTTATCCAAAAAAATGCATCTAAAACGTTTATAGATTTGTTTTCTACATTCTGATCAATTTTAGATAAAATATGACGAAGTAATCGTTGGCGATAATGAACTTTAAAATTTTGAATTATTCCTTGATGTAGTGGTTGCCAAATCGAAGTTGTATTTGGAGGTAGGAATATTAGTTTTATATTTTTTAAGTTTAATGTATCAGGATGTATGCTAGCGTTATCTAAAAATAAAATAATTTTTCTATTTTCCATCTCCATTTTTCTGTTAAAACACATTAGCCAGTCTGTCATTAAATCTCGATTCATCCATGCTTTACGGTTAGCATTCCAATTAACACATAACGTTGATACATTTATACTTATGAAACAACGTGGTTTTAGTGATTTTTTAATTATTAATGGAGTTTCAAATTCCCCGATCATATTTACACATAATAAAATAGTTAAACGATCTTTAGCTTTTTTACCTCCACGACAAATTTCGTTTTTTAAACATAATGTTTTATCAGGAAGTGCTCGAAAAAATAAACCCGTTTCATCACAATTGAATATATTTTTTGGTTCATAATCTGAAATTAATGTTTTCAATTTTTTAACCAGTTTTTTACAACACTTGAACCAACAGAGTTACCTTCACCACATATATTTTTAAAAAAATGTTAAGACGTTCTCGGAATTTTTGAAGCCAACCGTTTGAAGCTTTAAAACTTTCTAGACCTACCTCATTTGAAACTTCTCGTGCTTTTTCTTGGAGCAATGGTCCAGAAACAGGTAAATTATATGAACGGGCTCTACAGAACCATTCAAATGTAACTTTATCTACAAGTGCTCCATCCGATGTTTTCGAAAATTTTCTCCTTATATCTTCATTGCCATTTTCAGTGTCATATTTTTCAAATTACACGCATCTTATAAAATGTTATTCACCTGTATTTTTCATTAAATGAGATGTTTTTTTGATAAATTAAAATAAAATATTTAAATTTACCTGTGACTTGCTTATGCAAAATCTTTCTACTAGTACACGAAGACTTAGACTTTCCGTTTCTTTAGTTTTAATAATATTTATTTTTTCTTCTTAGTTCAATCTTTTTCTTTTATTATTATTCATTTTAACGCAGGTACGTGTTCACACAATGTACACAACTAATGACCGAACACATAACCGAACCTTTAGTCATTTTTCGAATAGGAAAACTATTAAGATAAGATGAAATATGGACGAATGTATAAGAGATAAATATGGTATTTTTATTTCTTAAACGTTTTCGATATGTACATGTATTGTGTCCATTTATGAGAGGTAATTTTCAATTTGGTACCAGCTTATTGTGTCCAGATCCACTGTTAGGAGTGTCCGCTATTAAGAGGTTATAAATCTTATTATGTGCATACATTTTTGCCGGGGAACTTAGAAGTGTCCACTATTGGGAAGGGTCCACTATTGAGAGGTGTCCATTAAAAGAGGTTTCACTGTATTATCATTATTATAATGTTATGCGTGTTCGAGATGAACAATGTCAGGAAGGCCGAGCTGTTGGCGTCTGTTTTAGAATGTTCGCGAGACATTAGTCGGTTCTTCGGGAATACCGATTAGATAACGATCTGGTGTTTCCATTGAATGTTCTAGAACAGATACCCTTATATATTGATGTCCAAATCAACAGCGGCAGATATTTAGATACTTGGCATCAGAAGAATTATTTCGCTAAATGTCTTTTGGTTTTCGCATTTTTCACAGCTACATTAGTGTAATAGTGAAAGAAGCATAGTCAGTTATATAAAAAAAGTTAATACCAATATTTTTTCCAAATACCAGTACGATCGACTTTAAAACTGAAGCTGAAAAGTATTATACCAAATTGAACTTTCCGAATTGCATACTTGCAATCGACGAAAAAACATGTACGAATTTGCTGTCCTAGAAATTCAGGATCATTATTTTTTAATTGCAAGGACTATTTTTCCATGGTTTTACTAGCAGTGGAAGACGCAAATTATAAATTCATCGCTATAGATGTCGGTTTATTTAGAAAAGAAAGAGACAGTGGTTAGGTTAGGCAAACAAACTTTAAACGGTACATTTAAATTTCCTGAAAATTGTAAGCTACCTGGCTCTGATTGTGTAGTACCTCATGTTATCCTCGGTGATCAGACATTTAGATTGCACAAGCATCAGTGGCGGCTCGTGAGGTTCACATAAGGTGGTGCACAAATAATTTGCAAGATATGTAGGTGGGTAAAAAAAATATTAATTTTATCATAGGTATAGGTACATATAACATAATTATCTATATATATATATATATATATATATATATATAAATTAATTGCTGTTTGTTAGTTACACGAATAATAATATACGTAAACGTCGGTGGTCGATAGTTAACAGAAAAACGATTGTTGTTTTGAATTTAAGATAATGACTAACATTATCAGCTGATAATCGGAGTATAATAAACAAATGTGAGTAAAAATAAATCTTAATGCCGATGCCAATGCGTAACGGCGCGGCGACATAGAAAATAATTCACCGAAAACAATTTAATTGGTTATGTGCACAGAAACGAATGTGCACATAAATTCCATTTAAACGCGCGTTGCGTGTTTCGACTTGTTTTAATTTTTACATTGTACAAATGTGCACACTAATAGTGTGCACTACTGTACCATTATAACACACACACTGATACCGTTCCGTCGCGAACAACCGCCTGCCCGTTTGGCCTTCGGAAACCCCATCTAAATACTTTTACATCTAAATAATTTTCATAATATTCTGAATTTATATTTTTATATTTTGAAAAATAATCTTAATAACACTACAGGTATTTAATTGTATTATTATGGTTTATGTTTTCAATATTTTTTGAGTTCGGGTAGGTAGTGCACGTGCACTTGTGCACATATACGCGAGCCGCCACTGACAAGCATATATTAAGAACGTATTCACAAAAATCAGCCAGAGGAGACAGCAAGAGAGCCATTTTTAACTATCGACTCAGTCGTGCTCGACATGTGACCGAAAATGCTTTTGGGTTACTGAGCCAAGTATTTCGAGTTTTCCTCCAACCGTTTAGTATTGAACCAAACACTTGTGATGATTTAATTATAGTAGCATGCTGTTTACATAACATGTTACGTAAAGCATATTTAGAAAAAAATTAAAAAGTATTTTATCAATTTGACCAGGAACAGCCAACTTTTAATAACGATTTGGTACGTACATTTTGCATTTGTGAGTTCAGATAGAATAGCAGTAAGGGATATTTTTAAAGACTACTTTGCAAATGAAGGAGCTGTATCATGGCATACATGATGTAATATATTAATATTAATATTTCATATTATATAATAATTTTTTGTTCGTGATTTCAATTTAGTTTTAGTTTGGTATGTATATATGGATTGATTCATATTGATAAATGTTTACCTATTTATTTTATAAAATATGAACAAACATGGTATTTCCAATTTTCGATATAATAATGTCAATTCTAGTGCCTACTCATTTTTATAAAAAAAAAACAAAAATCTCAAATTGTCTGTGTTAATATTTCAAAATACATTACAAAATTTATATTTACGTATCGATACCGTTGGTTTTTCCACAAAGCAAACAAAAATGTTTCCTATATTTATATAGTGAAGAATGGTTTAATACACAATGATGTAAAGTCAGATAAGACACTTTATTACTAAATAACATAACATAATAATGAAACATATAAAATAAAATAAAACATGACAATAAAATAATAGTATGTTTTTAAATAAAATCAGTCTTTGGTTAATTTTAGGATTTATTATAAATTTAATATTATAATTATTAAATTATTATTATTTATATATCATTATTATCTTGATTGTAGTTGAAAATTGTAAATGAATTTGGAGCAATTTGTTCAATTCTGGCTTGAGCATATGATATGTTCAGCTCTAGTTGAGAATGATAATTATCAAGTGGTCTTTGAATTGCAAGGTTTTGGTTTTCTAATTGACTTACATACGTCAAAATCTTAATTTTTGCGTCACTAATAGTTTGTGGTGATAATTTTTTTATGGTAATAGCAATACTTTTGAAAAATAAATCGACATCATCTTCACTTTGCAAGTTCTTAGTAAAGACTTCGTTTTGTGTTTGAATTTGTGACAGTATCTCATTCCGATCTTTTGCTCTTTCAGCAAGAATAACTGATAATTTATCTTTGTTTGACCATATTCGTTTTCCTCTATATGATGTTAAGGGCAAGTTTTGTGTGGTCGGAAGTTCTTCTTGTTCTACTGAGTTATCATTGTCAGTATCTTTTACAACTTCTTCAATATTTGATATAGATCTAAAAAAGTTAATATTATAAATATTAATTTAAACAATTAATTAAATACATTTACAATTTCATTTTTATAGATAAATACTTACTTTCTTTCGTACTTGACCTAATCCAAAAATGATAATTACAATTTTGTCGCCGGGGTTTTTCCATCTTCGTTTACAGTCATCAGCTAAAATTTAAATTATAAATATATTTTTTTTTCATGTAATTACTATATGAAATGGTATATTCAAACCAGATCGATTCATTTTTTCGAAAATTCTATTCCAAATCTCTTCTTTACAAAATACATCTTTATGTTTTTGTTCAGAGTTGTCATAAATTACTTTGTTTTCTTGCACATATTCAGTTAGTAGTTCGTCTTAGGTGTACGAAAACTTGCCAAGAGACTCATTTTTGCAAAACATTCAATAATATAATAAATCGCAGAGTGACTACGCGCACCACTAGTCCCGGACTAGTACTGTCGCCGACCAATGCGATCAATTTTTATTGTAGCGCGTCAAATCGTGAGTAGGAAACCAGTCTAGTATAAAGATGTGTCATTCATGAACGAACGAGTTCAATTAAACTATTCACCCAAGTGACCGGTTTCATACTAGTTCACTTTTGATGAACGACTCGTTCATCGTTCACTTTGTACTTTTTATACTAGTACCTTAATCGTTCATGAACGATTCGTTGATATGGAGTAATAATTATTGAACTAGTTCCTTCATGAACAATTCTTTGATACGAAGTACGTATTCATACGAACTAATCGTCAAATATGTAACAAATATAGTTCAGTGAACTAGTTCAATTTAATGAACGATGAACGACTGAACTAGTTCACTTTAATGAACGATAAGTCCTATCTCTAGTTTAGTATTAAACCTATGAACTAGTCGACGCTGTGTGTTGACGCCGCGACAAATCGCTGAAGGGGAACCGTACCTCAAGACGGAATGTTGTCGGCTCGGCGCGTATTTTTTGTAAGATTCACGAATTAATGATCTTTGGAATAAATTTTGTTTGTAGTAGAAAGTATAATTTGTGTAATATATCTTTTATTTATATCCGTTACCGCTCTCGGTAATGCCATCAATTAATTTTTAAGTTTTGTGGATAACCCAGATAAATATAATTTAAAAATCCTAAACTACATTTAAGTACACGTAAAAATTTACGTCGTAGTTATATTTTTTTTGTAAAATCACTTAAGAAATAATAATTTGT